TAGATTTTATTCCTCTCATAAATTTAATTAAATCTTCGCACATACATTTTTCGAACCTAACTGTATTAGCGGCTGCAATAAATATGTTTGTTGGAGAAAATTGTTTATTTAAAAATTATTTTTCCAATATTTACAAACCCAACAAATTATAAGCCTTTTTTTTTTGCTGCTCAATAATGTCGAATTAAAAAAATAAATTTCACAATGTTCAAATATTATTATGCAATAAGCAAGAGATATAGTCAGTGTTGAAAAATATGAAATATTGATTATGAATAATATACAATAGCCACCTGTGGTTTAAAAGTGGAAGATCAGATTTCAGATCAATTCTTAGTTTTAATCGTCGACTAATCTGTTCTTTCATTTTGGGTTTTAGAGTTTACTGTTATTTGTCGGTATAAACACGAAATATTCACCCAGTTTTTGAGCTATCAACATTTTTCATACGTCTTTTTCGCTCCACGATGCTGTCGAAACCGCTGCCATCGGACCACTATAGCGTATATGTAGCTGTCATACAAACTGAATGATCAAAATCAAGTCCTTGTAGGGAAAAATATTTTATTTAACAAGCTATCTTCACGAAATTTGCACGAATTATTGCCTAAGACAGCACTACAATCTCCAAATATATTGTTTAGTTTGGATCACTATATATTAGGATGGAGTGAAAATTTTTTTTTTTTTTGCTTAGTCTGAGTGTAAAATTTGTAGATTATAAAAAAAAAGTTTTTGGAAATTTTAATTTTTTAGTTTAAAAAAAAAAGTCTTAAACGATAACATGCTTTCCTTAAGCGTGAAAATAAATTTTGAATCGAAAACCGGTTATTTTTATATAACTGTAAAGAAATTAAACAAAAAAAATTTTAACTCAAAGTTTACTTTAAAAGTGAGATGTTAAAAAAACTTTTTTTTTTAATTTTCTTTTATTATAATCTACAAATATTACCCTCAGGCTAAGAAATAAAAAATTTTTTTTTGCTCCATCCTACTATGTATATACATATAAACTAACCGATGTATATAAAGTTCTTGTATCGAAACTTTATTATTTGTGAAGTTTATTATATCTTCGGTCAACCGAAATTTACGAATTTTCTCATTTTAATACATTTCAATGCTTTCGAACACACAATACCGCAGCTTTGCTTACAATAGCTATAATATGAGAATATAAACAAAACTATGCAATATATTTGCAAGCATATCATATCAAAGTAGTAGCATGTTAAAGCGTCTTAGACCAGGGTCCGCCCACATTACTCATAGTCTACGAAATCTAAGAAGTGGGATTGCTGCCAAACTTGCCACTTCAGAAACGTAGTTGCGCAGTCAAGCAGCCGGAATGGAGTAGCAATAGATGTAGTGTCAACTACACAAGTCAAAGAACCAACGAAAGTGGAGAAATGTGCCCGCTTGTTGCCTGTCTTTCGGCAGTTCAAAGTCTAAAAACGAGGAGGCCGTCCGTCCGTCTGTGCGTCCAATCCACCACTTGCTGCCACATCCCGCACGGACTCAACGTATTTCATGAATCTCGCATTTTACGCTTGTGACTGTGCTTACGCAACTGCTGCTGGTGTGAGCTATGTTGTGCACCAAGCCCGAATATCCTGTCTGTCTTGTAGTCGTTGTCGTCTTCTTGTGTCTTCTCGTTATCTTTGTCTATGTCGCCGTTTGAAAGACGCTTTTGTCAATTGCGAATAGCGAATGGATTAGCAATGATCCCAATGAGTGAATAATGCAGCAAAGAAATTTAATTTCACGTCTTTTACTTTTAAGTGCACTACTCCAAAGACAACACAAGCAACGCACTGACTCCCCAAACGCTTAAAACCATTCTCGTTCGCTACAAAGCGACAGAGACGCGACGCCTCCACCGAACCACGATGCGCACACAGAGCGCCGTCAAGGAGTCACCGAAGCAGTAGATGGACGGGCGACGGACGAGTAAATATTGGAATTGAACATTGTTTGTTGTTTGCGTGTCTGAGTGCACACACACACATACACACGCTCGTGCAATTTTCTTTCCATTTCATCCGCCGCTGCGCCCTAGCAGCAAGAGCAGCATGTCGCTCATCAAAAAGACACTTAAATGTTTGCAACATCTGACAAAGACGCAAAATGAGTTTTCTAAGCAGTTTTCATTTAAAAGATATTGCGAGTATTTGACATCAACGCATTCGCCGGCATTCATTATGCTCCCTAACTCGCACATTCCTCTCTACGTCGGCTCGATTGACGTTTGATGCTTTCATGCTCGGTTGCGTGCGTAGTGCACTCCTACTTGCTGGAAAGAGCGAAGCGGTTGTGAATGAGCTGTTGCAAACAATCAGACCTTCACTTTTAACACTTCGTATCCGCGGCCAATTTTATGGCGGTTAAGTGTACTTTAAGCATAGTTTAAATAGCTAATAAAATGACAGCTACGCAAATGCAACACTACATCGAGGTGAAAGCAACTAAGCGGGAGACGCTGAATTGGATTCAAATGAGGCGAATGGATTTAACTTGGTTGTAATCTTTGAATGAGTAATAAATGCGAATGAGACGCTACAATTCGTAATATCTCAATCAAATTTAAGTTTCTTACATCAAAAGTCTCTTATTTGAAGCAATTTATAATGCATTTGTTGATTAGCTCGCTAAATTAGTTGATGACATTGTTATGCTCAGTTATTGAAATATAGCCGAATATATTATTTGTATATTAATTGAATTTGATATTGGACTGGATCGAACGGCCTATATTTAAACTATCTTCTTTTAGAAGTTATATCCACTTGCAAGTCAGAAAAACTGCGTTTGTTTGAATTTTTTTTTTTTTTTTGAAGAAGCATTTTATTTCATCAATACATAAAAACATGTGGGTTTACAAAATTTAAGGTACACTAATAATCGATTATTAATTCTGAAAAATTTTGGATTCTCTTGATGACGTAGCACATCTCTAGAAGGCCTCAAGAAATTCTTACAAACACATTCATATCACCGAAACATTTTGCCGGATAAACTTCAAATTTGCGGAGAATATTTTCAATATTTTTTGATTTTGTGAAATTCAGAATTGGATATAACTTTTTAATAAGGGGTACCTTATAGTTCTATTGTCGAAGTAAGATGTTTAGGTGAGCATTTCATAAGCTATGCTTAGGCCAACACTGTTGTCTTATATAGGACTTTTCGCTATTAGGAATATCGTAAACTACTCATTTAATAGTACCGATTCAAAACTAATCTAGAAGAAAATTCACTTTTTCTGCAAAAAAAGCTTCTACCCAAAAGTCCAGGCTTCACTCCACATATGCTTTTCTGCTATTTCATTTAAGAAAGATCAACTGCGCGTTAAGCATTTAAGCTGATTTCTTGTGTTTAATTTTCGCTAGGAGCGCATAACCAATAACGGAATACAAGTAAACTCTTTTCTCCTTTGAGAGGCTGATGGAATTCGAAGTACTAGAACGCGTAAGAACTTTGCCTCTTACTTTTGTTCTAACTCTCTTTAAGCAACCGAGTATAATATCGAAAACATTCAGTACGAGGTCCATTTGGAAAATGTTGATATTGACATAATCACTCCACCATCAATTCTTAATTATTCTTTCATATACTAATGGCCCTTAACAATCGATTTTGAGGAGTCATATAACTCTGTCACTAATTTTATAGCTCCATATGATAAAAGTTGTTATAACAATTACAAAAATTACCATTTCCATTGAAATTCGTATCGAACAGCTATTGATCAGCCGATAAAAGAGGCAATAAGCACACCTTTTAAAAGTAATTGCGGGTCACGCATTGTGGTCAAAGGTGCACTATTCAAAATAGAAACTGATGACTGACCACAATATTAAATGTTCGCAATCCCCTCGAAGTAAAAGTGGAAGGGGGGTGTGCAAAGAAATCGGGCTATTCACACAACTACACTTTTAATATCAAAAGCTTTACCTTTATGCGTGCATGCTTCTCTGTGTGCGGGTGTGTGGCAGCAGTTTATCCCTTTCATATTTTACACATTCAAGGCAATTTATTTCCATTTCCCCGCTCTTTGAAGTGAACTCGCATTTTATATAACTACAAATGGGAATACACGCCTACGCGCACACATAGATGTATGTGGATGTGTGGGCATGCAATTGAGAGGCTTTTGAGAAGAAACCATTGCTTGAATAGAGTCATTCATGCAATTGCCATAAAAAAGTGAAAAGGCAGAAATAAACATTAAGCGCTACACAAGCAGGGAATAAAAAGTAAAGCAAGAAAAAAACTCCCCCCCATGCGCTGCTAAAAGGTGCGTAAAAGTGCCGCATACTATTTTCGCATATTTTCTATACACTGTTACCCGCTTGCCCAACAAATAGAGCCACTACTAGACTAATAATAAATTGCAAAGCGTTTTCACCCCTAGATGAAGCGATACTGACGCCCAAGCTAAGCGTGCGAGTCAATTTTCGTGTAATTCTTTTTATATAGTCCCGTTGCCAGAAATTCGTTTTCAAGTACAAAGCAATGAAATTTGATTGCGCGATGATGAAGGTGTCGCATTCAGCAGGCGTCGCATAAAGAAATTATTTTACTATTTTTTCAATGTTTTACTTTCCTTTCTTCATTTTTTCCGATTCAAAGACGCACACGCATTTTTCCCTCTACAACCAGCAGAAGATCAAAGCCACAAAAGCCCTGTGGCAGGAACGAAATTGTGTACATTAGTTACTAGAGTGCGGCAGTGTCAGGGGTTGCTCTTCGGTCCCTTGGTAGTGTTGGCTACAGCGCGCCAAAAAGTTCAAAATATCAGCGGTAAAAAGCGAAAAATCGAAAAAAATCGAAAAATAATAAAAGGGGGAAAAACAGAAATTTCTTTGAAAATTGATACAACTAAATTGCGTTTTAATGCGCAACATACGAGCAAACATATTTTATATAAATGTTTTTTTTTTTCTTTTTTATCCCACTCCACTTATTTGTGCCGCCCAATTCGCCAACAATTTACACAGGCTTGGAAGCAGACTTGTTCTATGTGCACGAGGGCGCCATCAACACTTACGCTATGCATTTCACGGTGCCGGTGCCAGCAGATGTGCATGATTTAGAGTTTTCATGGCAGAGTTTGACCCCGTATCCGGTGAGTAAAAGAGCCATATTCCTTGCTGACTCACTCCACATTGTATATTTTTCTGCCAAACTCTGTGTTCATGTGTCGACATGTGTGTGTGTGTGTGTATGCGTAAGAGACGCATGTCAGCATTTGACCCCACAGAGTCTGACAGTACCGCCACCAATACCACTTGCGTAGCACTCAAAATCTAATTTGCACTCCATTAACCTTCTCGCCAACAACACAACTCTATGCGCAACCATTGAACAACAACACCACCACCCACCACTCGCCGCCTTCAGCTGCCCTACACCATCACAATCGACTACGAGCACGAGCAGACCGCTTTGGCTGCGCCCACGCTCAGCATACCCGACAAGGGCTATGTACCACAGCAGATTGAGACATTTCTGGTGCATCTACCGTGTACGGGGAATGGCAATAAGGAGGTGCCGCTTGTCGTCAATATGCTTGTGAGCGGTCCACCGCGCACTAATGACACCAAATTGCATTTTAAACGGAATAAAATCTGCCTCAAAGGTAAGTCGCAACCAACGCAGTTCGCCTAATCCAGTTATGTACATTCATCCAACGCGCAACGCATTTATTGCCTGCAACGTCATTGCATTTTTAATCGCGCATTTGCAATTTTTCTCTTACCTTTTCCCGCGCTTTCCTTTAGGTTTATTTCCTGTTCCGAATCAATCAGCGGCACCCGCCCAAGCGCCGTCGCCGGGTCACGCGCTGTTGGGTGCTGCGGCTTGCGCGCTCGGTTTGGTGCTGGTTGTCGGGTTGATTGCGTCAGCCATGTATGTGCGCGCACGCAAGCAGATACGCCAGGATTCGTTGCAGTAAGTATCTGAAATCGGAAGTAGGAAGCGGTGCGCGCATTCGATAAGCGCGCGCAAATGCATTTTTCATATGAAATTAATCGCAAATTTTTCTTTTCCTATTTTTTTCCTTATTATTGTTGTAGCACCAGCTTTACTACTGCCGCTTATGGCAGCCATCAAAACGTTTTCATACGCCTAGATCCGTTGGGGCGTCCACCCAGCGCGAACAGTGGTTCCTATGCGACTATCGCTAGCCTGAATAAATACCCATCGGAGTCGAAGAAGTCTTGCAATATTTTTGACAGTAAGTAGCACTTCTTAACGTATATGATATCTATCTCTGACTAGGCTAAAGAAGTGTTAGAATACAGTATTATATATTATGATTCCAAACACGAATATACTCCAGAACTAAATCCGAATGTTAGAATTTGAAGCTTTCGCCTAAACTCAAAATTGTGTTTATTTCGTTATCATTTTTATCTGGAAGAACCAGTAATTCATATCAAGTATCTCTTCAGCTACAACTTCTACACCTTGAAAGCTAGTTTCGTAACAAAATCGATTGAAATAAATACCGGGTTGCAGCAGAAGTAAAAATTATTAACGACAGATTGCGATTTTAGGAATTCTTATTGCAAAACAAAATTTTCTACCCTTCTGAACATTCACATCTATCGAAACACTTTCTAATTTGTCATTTGATATTGCGCCGAAATGTAGGCAACATCTTTTAGTATTTCTATTTTATGACATTTTAGCACTATCTAGAATAACTGTGTCACAGTCCAACCCACACGTGGCACTTGGCACTCTTCCAACTGTGTAATAAATTCTCAAATTTAAAATATCGATTTCTTTCTCGCCACATATCACGTATGAAATTGGGTCGTTTGCCGTGTGCCAGCAAATCATAAATGCACATAACTAAGAAATAAGGAATGTACAGAGAATTTTGTTTTGATACTCTTTGCAGGATTTCGCAGTTCCACGCCGACACCCTCACCCTACGCGACCGCTTTACTGCCCGTAGGCGGCGATCAAATCGGCGATACAATTTACTCCAAACCAGAGTCGATCTGTCCCTCGAGAATATCTTATTACGCCTCGTCGCAGCTAACGCAGGTATGTGCTTTGAAACTATAATATCCATATCAATTCATATGAACACTACCAATACATATACAAGTACACATACAATGAATAATATTCCATGGCAACAACAATATCGAGGTACATACAAGTATATGTGTCGCAGCAGAAAATCTTAATTTTAATTTGAAAATGTTTTTTGAATCCATCTCCGGTTGTTATGTTCTTATGTGCCCCAGCAACCCTCACAGCCAATTTATATATGTAGGTCGGGCCACTCCCTTCGACGATTTTGGTAATTTCTTATTAGCGGCAAATCCTTCGAAACGCCACTCAAAGCACGAAGAAGCGCTTTACAGCTTTAAACGAATTTCGTCGTTTTATGTCAGCAACACGTGTTCACATGATGACAACAATTACAACAACGGCAACAACAACAGCGTCAGTGTCAGCCATAAAAACAACAATTATTTGGCAGTGACGAATTCGAATATCGTCATTACTTTGTCATTTTTTATTTCGCTTATTTGCTATGCAATACAATTGCAACAATAACAATAACAAAAAGAACAACATGCAATCACCAGACGACAACCGCAAGCAATTGAACTTTCATGTGAATCCCAAATGAAACGCGTTCGAATGCAAAATTGGCGGCAGTTGCGGCAAACTACTCCTCCTCCTTCCCCATCCAACGGGGTCCCCTTTAAATGGCACAAAATTGTAAAACCAAACTCAAACGACATCATCTTCTGAGATAAAAAATAAACTTGTGTATGCCGTCGCTTTGATAAGCAACCGTGCATTCAAGCACTTATGTGGAGGGTGTGCGAACTGTAAAAGGCATTAATAAATATGAACATTATCTTTGGCACATGCCAACTCCCCACTCGCCACGGCATTGCAAAGCGAAGTGGTGGCAACGTAACAAGGCGCCAGACGCACAGTGGGGCAAAGCGCTTGAGTAAGCCTAAGCAGCAAAACTATAAGCGAAAGGAGAGAGAGCCTCTTTGAAGAGAGCATATAACTGTAAATAGTAGCAATGAAACAAATGTAAGAGTAATTTAAAAAATGGTAAATTGCCAATCTAATTTCATTCACTGTAGTTCTCAACCGATTTACTTATGAACTAACATATGATCAAATATCTTGGTCTTGAGGAGTTTAATTATATTTTTTAAGAATTATTTCTATAAAAGTATAGTGATAAGCTATTCGAAATACAAGTTGTCTTCGATGCGCAATTTCTCTGCACGATCAGAAAAATTACATGTAAAAGCTATAACAAAGCTATCGAGTTTATTTCGTACACGACCTACTCTCTTGGATACCTCACTAAAGTGGTATAACCGCTATTCCATCAAATACGTATATATAAATGATCAGCGTTATGAGCTAAGCCGACTTAGCCATAGGCGCCTATCTGTCCGTCTTTATAACTAGTTCCTCAGTTTTCGAGATATCGATCTGAAATTTTGCAAGCATCCTTTTCTCCCCAAGAAGCTGCCCGTTTGCCAGAACCGCCGGTATCGGAACACTATATCATATAGCTGACATACAAACTGTATGATCAAAATCAAGTTATTGTATAGAAAATGTTTCTGCTTGACAAGATATTCTCACGATATTTGGTATAGATCTTGTCCAAAGCAAAGCTACAATTTCCGTTTTTTTTTTCTCCTTTTAACTTTTGGGACTGAGAAGGTCTTCATCAGGTTGAAAATGATCAAACTGGACTGGAAATTTTGCATCCAAATATTGATTCATTCGACTCAAGTGATATAGGCGCTCTACTTTAACTACTTTTTTTTAAGAAATCGATACGAAACACTCATTAAGACTTGGTAATGATGGCATAAGCCTTTTGACACCTACATATACATATCTCTATACTTATTAAGGTATTATTTTCGGTTAGCATTTCCGCTATTTTGGCCCATTGTACACGTTCTCTTGGAAAAACACACCCAAGGGAAACATACAAATGCTGAACAGATGAAAAGCTTCTTTCACTACTGCCGACGCATCACCTTTTCAACTTCATCAGCTGTTGGCTGCCAGCAAAAAGGAGTACAACTAAACCGGCATTCATTTACATATTGTATTTGTATGCCTGTGTCTGTCGCTGGGAGACGTGTTGGTGTTTGCAGCAGCATTTATGCAACCGAAGAAAGGGTGAGTTGCGGGTGAATTATCGTGCATGTGTACCGGTCGCATTTAGATAAGCCAGCCAGCGTCACACGGCAACAAAAGGAAAATGAAAAGTAAAAGCCGGCGTGGCAAGCATGATGCTGACAGCGGTGCTCAACCGCAAGCAAGCACAGCGTGCCAATGCCAGCAACAGCAACGGCAACCGAACTGGGACCTGGCCCATTTAAGTGCAGGAACTAAAGCGGACCAGGCATTTGGTGGGGGTTTTCGGGCACCGAAATGGAAGCATAAGCGAAAACGTTTGGTGGTTAGCAGCGTAACGGCAAATGTCATTGCAGCTACTAAAGCAATACATGGCTGTACTGTAATTTTAGTTCTTCTTATTATTGTTATTGTTTTTTATATTTCTATACCGGTTGTGTGCATGCATGCAACTGTCACTGTCATTTGCTTTTGTTTTTGGCTATAACTGCCGTTGGCAAACGTCATGACAAACTATGAGACGATTATATTTTTAATTTACATTGCAATGTGCCACAAAGCAGCCAACAACGAGCGACACACTTTCAACCAATCTACGAACACACTCACACACACATATATATATATATACACACACTAGTGCATAGCCGAGCATGGCTAGAGCATTTACGCTAGATAGAATTACATGCACACCCACTTGTCTTTTGCCACAAACGGCACATAAATGTTGTGGCAAGCATAAAGAGACGAGTTCTATTTGGGGCAAGCAACTAGCTAAGCATCGTGTGGCATGTCGCCGTTGCTTTTGTTGCTGCGGTTACATTTACTGTTGATGTTGCTGCAAGTGAAAGTTAGTGCAGCAGCTGATAAGTCCCACAACAGGCAGTGAAACCCACCTCCTTCGCCCTTGTATAAGAACAACACACACAAAGTCATGCAGCCCACATATTGCTCTCAGCTATTGGAGCATAAACAAAAGTAGCTACAATTATGCACACACACACACACACACGCGTGAGTAAGCAAATTGCCAGCTGCATGCGATGTCCTTCGTGTTGCACGTACACAAAAACGAAACAAAATGCAACATTTACAGCTATTGAGATCGAGTGTGCTGCTGTCTGCTGCTGTTGCTGATGTTGCAACTTCTGTGGCACATACACAAAGCATACAAAGTGGCTAAGATAATCGCTGAAATTTGTGTGGAAATTAGTTGGAATTGTGTATAGCATAGCAGCGTGCACTATGTTGCAAGGCTAAAAACGTAAATAAAATAGATTAAACACACACACTCACACACATACGAAATACTTTTTTGCTTAAGAAGTTTATTATAATAAATTCTGCCGCATGCTTTTTCGATGCTATAAATATTAACTTTGCACAAAACATTTCCATTCCGAGTTTCCGTAAAACTAATTGCGAAGTGGATTATTTAAAATTTATGAACACTGGAAAATCAATTGCTCTTATTTATGTATGCGCACCTGTGCCTTTTGCAATTAGCGCCCCATCGTTTGCTTTACGCTACAACCGCCCAAGTAATTCCGCCAGCGGCTAATGAACCAAAACGCCTACTTCTTTTAGACTGGCACTTAAGCTAAAATCAATTAGAGATCCATAAAGAAGTCTCCATCTGCCACAGTCAACCGTTATATTATGACGTCAATCAATGTTGTTGGTTTTGTTGTTAGAGCACAAAACATTAATTTACATAATAATTTTGCAGTTGCTTAATATTCAAAATTACTGCTATATTTGTAGTTTTGAAGTTTCTTCATTTTCCTAGCTTTTCTAGGCGGTAATGGACTCTTTCGCGCCGGTACTATGTTAGTCCTGGATGAATGGACATCACACAATAATTTCGAACCCTTACTAGCACAAAAAACAATGATTGCAAGTAGTGCACGTCACTCTTTTATTATGAAGCAAAACTGAAATTTTATTGTGTTCTGAAATATACTCCGATCGATTACACTAAGCACAGGCAAAGTTTAAGCTCTTTTGACACAAATAAATCTTTTTTGACATTTTGTCATCCCACAAAATATTAAAATTGTAAAAAACAAACATCAATGTAAAAATTAAAAGACAGTAACTGAAAAATTATCGTTTTAAACTCATTTTCTTCAAAGCAATCTTTTATACTTTTCTTTGACCGTAGGTGTCGTGAAAATATTTATTTTGCTTCCTTTGCTTAATAAAATATTTTAAAATTGTTTGCGGTTACAACCAACTTCGCATAAGCTGATAAATGTTAGGTTAGGTGAGGAAGTCGATCCCAAGAAGAATCTCACTTGAACAGATTAAAACTCCGGTCCGTTGTGGTAACTAAAATCTCCTATAAGTTGGATCAAAAGCCCCTTACAAGTCGACAAAACACTTTGTGCCTGTAACAAACTTGTTAAGACGGCCAATATCCATTGAGGCTGAGTATTCAGATCCGCCGAATGTGTGATTGCCGATATATTTCAATCTCAGTCTAGCAAAAGCCGGACAGGGGAGGAGAAAGTGCCGGGATGTTTCCACCTCGCTCTCCTCCATACAACTTTGGCAACAAGCATCGGGTAGTACTCTAAGCCATACCGCATGAGTACCCATTGGACAGTGTCCAGTGAGAACTTCTACTATAACAGCGAGATGCACTTTGCTCAGGGTGAGAAGTTCCCCCGACCTCCTGCGATCCACTGTTGGCCAGAAGGATATCGCGCTCGCACCGGTGGTGGTCGTCGACCAGCGTCTGCGGATTGCACGCAAAGTCTGATGAATGTTAAAGTCTACAAATTACTAAGCATTCATTGCAATACACATCGGCCATCATTGCACACACATAAATTATCGGCCATATCATGTTGTTTAACAAACAAAAACCGCAATATTTTCCGGAGAAATTTCGATTT